TTATTCGTTGATTTAAACTGATTATTCTTCGGACTTCAACTTTCACGTACAATCCTCAGCTCATCGATTCAACTATACATTCGAACGCACTAGACTCGAGTTTCGCTCTCTTATTGAAGCTCGTCACTAGTGCATGTCCGCCGTTTCACTGTCCGGGATTTGAACTCCGGATCCATCGGGCATGAAAGGTGTGTGCGTTACCACTGTACCAACAGATTGTCATTGGTTTCTTCCTTCGTTGCTATCGGGCCAAATTAACTGACTGACTATCACTGAAGACGACATCTGAACAAACATGAATTGGTCATTTGATTAAGCCATGGTATGAGCTGGTTGGCATAGTGGTAACCACAAGTCTTCCATGCCCGATGGGTCCGCAGTTCAAATGTCGGACAGGATGATGGATATACACTACTGTTAAGCTCTAATGAGCGAGTGAAATTGCAGTCTACAGTGCTTCCACGAGTGTGTATGGTTGACTGGAAGAGCTGAGAAATGTGTGTGAAGGGCAATTCTATAAGATAATCAATCCTAATCAGTTATCCCACATCACTATTAGCAAGTGTAACTTTGAGTTAAATGCGAATCGAGCTGTTTCATTCCATCTATTGTTTGAGATTATAGCTTGTGAAACAGGGGATTTAGGACGCAGTGCTTGCAACTCAAATGCATATCGTTCATTGCCAGACAAAGGGAAGACCTGGTGGACGGTTACTTCATTCCGTTTTATTTTTTATGACCATAACTACATTTTCTTCAGATTGTGGAAACTATGAGGATTTTTGGTGAACAACGAATAGATCAAAATACTGCTCAGGTGACTTGTAGAGTTTTAGCTTACCGCGATCACCCACTGGAACAACTGATCGACCTCCATAGATCACATCGAGGTAGGGGCATGTGTTACGCATGTCACCATATAGGTTGCCACGGCAGCTAGTGGAGGTAAAAACAAAAAGGATGGTCAAGCTAAGACCTGACATGAGAGTATGAAAACCTTGACCAGGAGTCTGGGTCCCTTAGGTCCCATTAGACTCCCTAGCTGGGGACCCCGGGATGATCGTACCCGAGGGTTCGAGACTGTGAGTGATATGACTGAGTATTGTAAACAGTGATGTTCGTGCATCTCCTCAATTTCTTTCTCCTACTGTTGATCCAAATGGGGGGGTAGCCAAACGACAGTAACCAAAACACTGCGCACGAAAATGCACGGTTGCTTGGTTGTACAAACTGAAACTGGTGTACATAACTGGCGTTCGATATTAACCACTAAAATGTGATATTTTTTTAACTCGTAGCTCACATTCCTTGTGTTAACGAAATTTCGGCTTGCTTTTTTTCAATGGACCTCTCATTTTGTCTTTTCTCTTTTTTCCCGCTCTCCAGTCTGAAGACGTTCAACAAATAAGCTCCTTGAAGTCCGTGATCGATGGAATGTCTTTACTTTCTCCGCACGACGGCAATCGGGATTTTCCAGGAGTGTCCGATACTCAACTGATCCCGTTCGTGGAGGATTTCGTTTTGGCTTTGGCCATGTGTAACACTGCTGTGGTCTCCGCGACCAAAAATTCCGCTTCCATGGTGAGTTTTGCGCAGTGTGTGTGTTTATGTACATATGTGCTTGTGTTCCATCAATCGACCGATGTTTTTATTCAATTCAACGGACAGTATTTTTCTTGACGTTGATAATATTTTAGAACTGATGGTATCGTAATCAGTTACGGGAAATAAACTATTCGTATACTATATTCAAATTGTCAAAAGTTCAGTAGCATTGGTGGGATTCGAACTCACACATGGTCGCCGTCTACGCCTCTATATATGGGACGCTTTATCACCTTAGTTATGAGGCCAAACCGATAGTGTTCATTCTTTCTCGGTTGAAGAATTACCAGCTAAATTGACAAAGGCACATAGAATCTACCTGGTGGCATGTAAGCTCATCATCGCAGCACATGCAGTCTGGATTCAGTCCCCAGTTGCTTTAGTTTCCGGTTGGTATTAATGATATTAATAATAATTGACACGTAATCATCGATGCGTGCTTCACTCTATCGCCGTGCCTTCTCACGGCTGTCCATAATCGCTGATCACCTGACGTGACATTCCCTTCAAACCGTGAGCAACGGAATTCGCTGTCAAGCAAACACATCCAACGGTGACTGATACGCGAGACTGTAATGCATAACAGTTGTATGATAATCATAAAAACGTCGACCAAATTCTACAATGAAATTATTATCTGTGATCTAAGAGATAGCATGCTCGACAGATTACGACCTATCTTTGAATGCTGTTCCGTAACTATTTTTTTAGTTAAACCTCGTACAACCTGTGTTTGTGTGTGTGTGGTTTTTCTCGGGGTGTGGTAGCTCATAAAATCTCATCAGTGTGTGTTTGACACAAATTGAACCGAGTACAAATCATGTGGTGAATTGTACGAAGTGTTCTGTTTTTTTTTAATGATTATGACGGATTTGTCGTGTAAATCGGATGTGTGCTGAAACCCCGGGAAGCACAGATAGACAACTGTTTCGACCCGGTTTCGGGTCTCTCCGCATCACCAGTGCGCGAATCTATCGCCACCCGATTGGGGATCGCGAACCGAGGACCTCGTCACAGGTAGAACGGAAGCGTACTACCTACCCGCTCGATCATCCCCCTCCCCCGCCCCCACCCACCCCGGGGGAGAGGCAATTGATCAAACTGGTTTTCAACCAAATCATAATCCCGGGAGGCTAGTGCTGTGATACACAAGATCTCAAAAACACGGGTTGTGCTGTATCGGATGTTTGAGGAGCTGTCCCAGGATTACCGAGTAGATAATATACTTCTGTTCTACCTGTGATGAGGTCCCCGGTCTGGGGTCGATAGATACGTGCACTGCTGATGGGATAATGTAGCGAGAAGGTGAACTCGTTGGGAAAACGTCTATTGATCCAATTCAAAAGCAAACAGTGTTTGCGTTCGATTATTTACAATCAATTCTCAACCGCGCGGCGGTTTGATTCATGCCTCTTTCTGTGGGTCATTCCTTGTTGGTTTTGGTCCACACTTGGCACGTACGTTGCCTGTTTGTCCGTGTGCCATTCCAACTAGTTTGACCCGATCGTGCCGCGAGATGCGTTGATCGACAGGTCCGACGTTGTGGCATTCGGTGGATATCTTTCCCGTTAGCTGCGGATTGTCTGTCGGGCTGTAATTGTCGATTCGTTCGTTTCGGGTGGCAGTCAACATTGTCACGCTAGGCACTTCCCGCCGCTGCGTCTGCGCGTCTGATCGGATGAGCCCCATTCTTGATTCGGTCGCTAGTCAGAACCCTCTTCGTAACGCCTTCCATCGCACTCGCTCCTTCTCTAAAATGATTGCCGCGTGTGTACCATCGCTCCAAATGTTCACCGTTTACCCATGTTCCTTGTAACCCGTGATGAATCCGAAAACTGTCGTTCTTCCTCTCCAGAACGGTGAATTGCTCCATCCACCGCTGCTTGAACTTTCCGGCCTTCGGTCCTATTGTTTCGGGTCTGCCTTGGTTTTTAACTTTTAATACCTGTCCCGGTACGAATGGCTACCACTTTTGAGTACTGGCTAACGAGTGAATCAAGAATGTGGCTCTTCCGACCAGACGCGCAGATATAGCGGCGGGAAGTGCCTAGCGAGACAATGTTGACTGCCACCCGAAACGAGCAAATCGACAATTTTACAGCCCGACAGAATAAGACCGGCAAACAGGTCGGAAACGGCTGCTGTCCATTGCAGTGTGATGACAGTTATATGGTCAGCTTTGTATGTGCATATGGCGCAGAAACAGAGCTGTTTTGGATCATGCACTAGATCTTGTCAAATTGAGTATATTGTACTCATGTGGGGAAAACACCGAAACAATGTCTTTCTCCCCCCACCTACCCACGCACCCATCTGGAGCGTAAATAAGTGCAAGCGAAGTTGTTTTGTTTTGTGGCAAGCTGTATACGGATGATCAACTCAACCATATTTGTACGCTATACACACACATACTTGTTCATATTGCTTGGTTTCAGTCGCCCCGAATGAAAGCCGGAGGATATCCGTAAATTCGACACCGGGACACTGGGATTTACAGTATTTTTGTAAGTGATAGGATCTTGTACTATT